TCCCTCTCTCCTTCTTCCCTCCCTCCCTCCCTCCCCCCTCTCTTCCTTCCTTCCTTCCTTCCTTCCTTCCTTCCTTCCTTCCTTCCTTCCTTCATTCATTCATTCATTCATTCATTCATTAGAGATAAGGTTTCTTTGTGTATGTAGCCTTGGCTGTCATGGAACTAGCTCTGTAGACCAGACTGGCCTAAAACTCACAGAGATCCGCCTGACTCTGCCTCCTGAGTGCTGGTATTAAAGGCTTGCCCCACCATAACTGAGCTGATTCAGTGGTTCTTTATAGTCTGTAAAGCATTAAATTTGTGAAATGTGGTCTTATATTTGGAGTGAGTGTGATGTTAAAGGCAGGTAACTAGTTTTCCTCAGTAAGCACAGACTTATGCTGTTCTAATAGCTAGGAAGGACTTGAGCAAAATATTAAGGAAAGACATATAGTATTTGGAATATTTTATATTGGAGTATTTAGATTTGAAATAATTTTGCAGGTACATTGTCTACATGTATACTATGAGATATCTCTGTGTGTGGTTCTAACATTAATGGTAATTATAAGGCCAACATCTCGAAATTCATGCTACATGTCACTTAGCATTATGTTGTAGCCTGGCCTAGGAGGTTTCTAGGAGATAAGGTAAGGCCACTTTAGGGTATATGTAACTTTTATAAACCTTAAAACAAAAATCTAACTCCTGATGTGAGCTCCCTTTATCTAACTCCGGACCTGGCAACTGACCTACACTGAGAATAATTTTTTTTTTAAAGGGAAGGATCCCCTAAGTTTCATGAATAATTTCTAGATTGGGATCTTTCTGGCTCATTGATCTTCTGGACTCCCACCTCCGCTCCCAATTTTGGCTCATGCTACCAAACAGTTTACTGAAGCTCTTGGTCTAAAAGAGCTGTTGCTAGAGCACCTGACAGTTACTTTTTAATAGAGTGAATTAAAGAGGAGAACTTACCCTGGCTGGCTAGCTGGAAGCACTTTGAAACCTCCAAACGTGATACTGCTGTGTTTTCATGGCCTTTTTTGTTAATATAGTCACTTTTAATCTTCATTGTTAATAGCAATTCAGGTAGTACAATTTTCATAATACAAATACCCTTTTCTGTTCACTTCATCCTTTAATTCAGAAGCTCTCTTAGTAGGTCCCAAAATAAATGCTTTATGTTAGATTGTTTTCTTTTCCTCTGACACAGTGCTGCCAGATCTGTTTTGTTATCAAAGGAAGTAGTTACAAGAGTATGCACACTAAAGATGTTCCTGGATAAATTGGAATTTCACTATTTGATCTCTGCATCTTGATGTCTTTTTAACATTTACCCATTCTCCCTACTCTATTCTTACCCTGGAGCCAGCAATGAATACTGTAATGCTTTTAGACTGTTCCTTATATTATGGTTTGCCATTCCTTATAATTGTTGCCTATCCTGCAACCTCTGGGTGTTTTCACTGTACCCATTCTTAAATACAACTTCAGTATACTCTGTAAATCTTCCTTGGCTGCCTTTTACTACTATAAATGAGCTGTGCTTTTCCATTTTTTATTTTATTTTACAATACAATTCAGTTCTACATATCAGCCATGGCTTCCCTTGTTCTCCCCCCTCCTGTCCCCCTCTCCT